AGAAAATAGTCCGAGGGGGCTAAATCTGGCTAAAAGGGTGCATGAGGTAGCAATTCAAACATTAATACATTAATTCGCTAAACACTCGATTGAAACCTCTTNACAGAAAATAGTCCGAGGGGGCTAAATCTGGCTAAAAGGGTGCATGAGGTAGCAATTCAAACATTAATACATTAATTCGCTAAACACTCGATTGAAACCTCTTGTGTGAGCAAATGCGGCACCCATCTTGGACACAGCTTTCTCATTTCCAAATCTTCAGATAACAAGCGATGTACCGTACTTTTTGAAATGCCTACTATATTGCTAGCTCGCGCATTTTCAGTCGACGATCATCCATTACCGCTTTGTGGATTTTCTTCACCATTCCTGGAGTCGTCACCTCATTTGGTCGACCACTGCGATGCTCGTCTTGGCAGCTCGTACGATTTTGTTAAAACTCTGCTACGCAATATTTTACTGTAGTAAACGAAGGAGCAGACCCGCCCAAAGTAGAATCTATTTCAGCTTTTATATTGAATGGGCGGAGGCCTTTCAAATAAAAGTATTGTATCACATAACGATGACCAATTTTCTCGATTTTCACAAATTCATTGAAAACGTTCACTATTGACGGCTGCCAAGCATATACTAAACAACGTGGCGTCTTCAAACTGGAAACATATGCTTTCTAGATTGTATAATTTTTAACACAGTGATATTTTTCAAACAACTAAAGCCATCTCTAGGTTAGGCCGGGTACTTTTGGGACCACACCCGTATGTGGTCCATAGTTTCGTGAGTATGCATATCGATTATTTCGTATGTTTCGAAATTTTTTTGTTTTTGTCGCATAGTGTTATTAATAAAGTACCTATGGCAGAAAGTGACAGTGACCAGTAAATGGCAAGCATCATTCGATTGGGAACCATTTTCTCCTAGATTTCTAAATCGCATTAAAGGATTGTTATTTTGTTTTTAACTTTCGGGAAAAGGTAAAATTTTTTATGAAAATTTGAATAATATTATATTAATTTTTTCAATTAACTACAATATGCATAAATACAAAAAAGCAATGTTTGAATAATTTTTTTAAATTTTGCACAAAGTTTGGATCTTTGTAATTTGTCAAAAATTTCTTTAAAAACAATATTAACTAAGAGTTTTAGATGTATTGAGCGGGAGTAAAAACATCAAAATACTTTTAACGCGCAGCGAAGCACGCCGGGTATTTGTCGGAAACCGGAAGAAAACGCTTTTCTTNATACTTTTAACGCGCAGCGAAGCACGCCGGGTATTTGTCGGAAACCGGAACAAAACGCTTTTCTTAATCATGATGTTTGAAACAAAAGTGAGTTTTTTTTTTTTATTTAGTTAAAAATACGCAAAGTTGTCGATAAATCAATGTAAAGCTCTCCTAAATTACAAACCCGTTTGGAAAATGCAGTTAACATGGGTGACAAAAAATTTATTGAGCTTCACTAATGTAAAAGGAAATTATGATAATAGCCATCTATATATTAAAAAAATATCAACCTTTTCAGATCTCATAAAACGTAAATTTGGCTATACCTCAAGAACTGATATACTTTTATAGATTTTGCCTTCATATTCCAAATGCCACATATCGGATTACTTGTCGACTAGTGTAGCTAGCTCGATTTGAATGCGTACAATTTAAAAGAAGCTTCATTTTGTATACTCGTAAATGTAATTTTGTACTTGATTTTATGTAAATGTTGATATTGTATACACCAAAAAAACGATCCAGGAAGCTCTTTATAATAAACTGACCGATGAAGTAAATATAAATATTAATATAAATATTTACTTCAAGGAATATATGCAATTGGTATTAAATGAAAAAAAGTGAACGAAAGTCTTTATGTATGCAAAAATATTTCACAATAGCCCTGCCAAGTTTAGTTGTTTAGAAAAAATAGTAGTCTTGATAAATATCTATAAAACCCTAGAGTTTATTCTATAGCTTGTGTAAGTAAAGTAGGCATAATAAATTGGCTGCTGAAAATTCTTAAAAAATTGATAAATACATAACTATACTTGGCGCTCACACATTTTGCTAACACTTTGGCAATGCTTATCCTCCAATTTGTGATGTGCACATTTAGGTGGAACACAGTGAGAAATTTTTTATGGAGGTGCGGATTTGATTAATAACTGGAGTAATAATTAAGTTATCTAAATAAAACTTAGGGCACATGTATGTAAGTAGAAGGCCTAGAATGTATAGGGTAGAAAATTGGCAAAACCGCACAATAATCATGTAGTAGAAATATGAAAACTAAGATGAGGTCAAATTTTTTACTGCTTCTAAAGTGTTGGATCTCTCACTTACTCAATCTTTGATAATTCACCATAATCCCCGAAAGTGGACACCGTAAAGCGATTTGCAAACCAATTTTCGTTTTTAGAAAAGAAAAACGTACATCGTTATCCGTATTGCCATTTTTTTAACATAAGCAGAAAGTGCGGGCTCAATTCGCTGGATATTCGCTTTAGAAGGTCCGGTTCTAGATCCTGGTGCTTCTGTTGCAACGCGCTTATGAACATCAGAATTGCTTGAAACGACCACATTACTTAATTCCATATAAGAAATGCTGAAAGTGGCCATGATTTAGAAGAAGATTTCCTTTTAACAATTTTAAGAAGATTTCTTAAGAACTTAAAAGGATATGCATGCACATATATTATGATAAAATTTTTTATGAAAGCAACTTCTAAGAAATACATAAAAATGTAAAGCAAACGTTTTTTTTTTAAGAAAAATATTTAATAGAATTGAAAGTAGAAAATATTACCCACAATAAGAAAAATATGGGATTTGGTGGAACGAAATCCTTTTGGAATTTCACTTTCACGAATGGGTTGTACCGTTTGGGCATAATCTGGCTGAGGCCCGAAAATTCCTATTCCCTTGAATTAGAATTACTTTGACCATCCTTGTTTTCAAGATGACTGCGATTCTAAAACTCCTTGGTCTCGTAAATCAAACTTAACATTCCTTGCGACTTGCTACCCAGTATTCAAAATGAATAGACTACCATGAAATAAAAACGACTGCTAAGGAATTTTCCAATTAACATATTTGTTCAAAAAATAATTCCTATATAAATTGAAGTTGTTTGTTAAATTATTCCTCATTTCTAATGGCGGCCGCTGTGATGTAGTGGTTAGCAGTGCGCGCTATCACTACGCAGGTGCCAGCGGTCGCCCCTCGGCAGGCAATGGCAAACCTCCGAATGTAGTTCTGCCAGCTTCTCATAAAAATACAATCGCCGTTCGGAATCAGCGAAAAATTGTAGGTCCCTCCCCTTTGTGTGACAAAATGAAGGCGCATGCCACATATTGGAGGGGAAGCTCGGCCAACACTTACATATGTATATGTTCCAATCTATTATTATTTCCCAAAGTGTCATCAGTAATAAAAACCTAGCGGGGGCAAGCCCTTTATATTACTTTCTTTATTCAAAACCGCAATAATATTGAGTTTTTTCTGCAGAATGATATTGCTAAAAACCGAACAAACTTACATAAACTTTTAATATGTCACTCAACACGGTATATTTAGTATCCTCTTTTATATAACGTAAACCAAACTTTAAGACTAATCTACATACATATTATATACATATACATTTTATGGCTTGATTCTCGAGCTAATTACTTGCAAAATTAATCCTTTTAGATTTTTTAAGTGTAACCATATAGTAATGGTATGTAGGTAGCCATCCGTGTACGTTTTTTTAAATTAATTTGCACATTGAAACCCCTCGACAGTTTGAAATAATTTCGCTAATTTCCCACTGTATGGAGGGACAACAGACATATATACATAATTTTCGTGGGAAGCCTTTTCGGTACAGAAAGTCTCAAGACAAGCGCCATCTAGTAGCTTAATGCATAGCTAAAAATATCCAAGAATACAAATAAAGATTTCCATAAATACAAAAGCCTCAAATACTATATTTAGTAAATTTTTAAACAACAGTGGTTGCGGTTTCATTCATTAAACAGCTCAATGCTACTCTATTATACATATTACTTGTTAGTTACATGCATGCGTAAAAAACATAAAAGTCGCGTACATCCGTTCGTTTCTTTGTTCTTTTATGCTTTACATTTGTTGTGGTTACGTATACGCTCCCGTGCACACGCAGGCTTGCTTTTATGTTTATTTGTAAATAAATGTACGTACATACATACATACATACATACATATGTATTTGTACTTAATTCTTAAACGCCAAGACGACTCCCGCTGCTTTGAAATGGAAATTGCCATCGAATGCCAATTACTAACAACAACAAGCATGCGCAATGTTTTCCATTGCACGCTGATCTGCACTGATCGGTGATCGCAACCGATCTCTCCGCAGCTAATTTATGATATAGTAAACAAACAAGCAGATTTCATGGACTTCATTACATAGCACGGTGTATTTGCGAATACTTCTGATATTTTCTTAAAAAAATTCAGTACTTTTAATTGGTATTTTCTCACATTCGCCATTCGCAAGAGTTTTATTGTAAAAATTTTGTATGTTTGTTTTCATGTGTACGTAAATTAATGTGGAGAGCGAAAAAACTGTTGCACTTCGGGTAGGAAAATATTTATTGCGGAACCAAAGGCATACGTAAATGGCTTGCGGGTCCAGTCTACGCTTGAAGTGGATTTAAGAAAATTTGATCAAAAAAATTTCACGATGTACCCGTAAATATTTTGCAGTTATCAACTGATTTTTTTTTGAAATCCGAACGACATCTACTAACGAAAAACGAGTTTTTTCCACCTTAATGGATCTACATATAGATACATATACATATATAAATTTCATTTACGGACATTCGGAGCTCTGTAAATGTTAAACAGAGAGTAATAAAGCCGAAAGATCGCAGAAGGTGCCGAAGTTCTCGGTAAAGTGTGGAAATGTGTGTGTCGAATGATCGGCACGCAAGCACTTGCATGGAAATCTTAAAACGAATTCAGTAGTATTTTAGAAGGCGGCGCGTACAAAACACACGTATTGATGTATATACATATGTTTAAAGTTTTCTCCGCCGATTTAATTTAGCTTTTATATAGCAGATGTTTTTGAAGTGATTTGGCGGAGCATTTAAAAACATACACACAAATACATATGTACATTCATATGCATAATTATTTTGAAAAATATGTCTGAGAACATTAAATTCGAAGTGACCAATGAAAAAGCTCACAAAATTCCAGTGAAATCACATAATAATGCAAAACACGATGTCCGCTTTGAAATAACTGACAATTTAAAACACGATCGCGTTCGTTTCAAAAATAACTCTCACGCAATTGAAGTGCCAACACATAATTCACACAAAATTGTGCCAAAAAATACAGTAACAAATTTAAAAGAAAATCCCAAAAATATATCAAAACTTTTAACAGTTAATGACGCAAAAAACGATTTTGTCATACAAATTAAAAATGACACGAAGCATAAACGAAGAAGTGATTCAAAGCATCCATCCACACATGCGACGCTTTCGAAAGCCGAATCTAAAAGCTCTTTGAGGAGCGATCATAAAATTTTAATAAAGTCAGACTCAAAATCAACATTGCGTAGTGTCGAGTCAAAAAGTGATTTGAAATCACTCTCCGGCACATTGCCTAGACGAGAATCAAGCGACACTGTGAAAGGTAACAGTTTGAATAGAACACTACAGAAAGTGGATTCCAAATCGACGCTTAAAAGTGAAACGATCTCTACCACAGACGCCCCAAGTAGCAGCAGCACACAGACGAAAAGAAGTCTTGAATCAATGACTGATGAGGAGATAATAGAGGAGAATCTGAAGGAGTTACTCGAACACAAAAATCACGTAAGTTTTTTCATAGACTCCAATGTGCATTTCGAAAACGGAAAGTGTGGTTTTGGAAAATTACTAAACTTTGAGAAATCATACACCCGGAGTTCTAAAAGTGCATTGTATTGTAATAAACTTTATTTTGTGCACAAAAAAAAAACAATTAAAAATAGCTACTAGTTGCATTCGTAATTTTACGCAAAATATCTGGCCTTGTTGGTGATGTTTTAAATTACAGGAAAAGAGTCACACTCGTGATAATTCAACGATTTCGCTGGCTTGGGCATCTCTTTTATTATTATTTGCTTTAATAAAAAAAATTCTGAGAATGCCTTATATGGATGAAAATGCGTAGCACGGTCGGAAAAAAGATAAGGGCTCAATGGATAATGAAATATTTAAGTAATGACGACCTTTTATGTGGCCTCACTCACATTTTTATTTCAGTTCCAAGGGCGATTCTTCGAGCAGCGGAATTTTTGGTTGTTATTATTTTTTTCTTTAATTTTTTAATGTATTATGTATTTTGTTGTCTTAATTTAATTATTATTTTTTTTTAATTTTAACAGCCGGTTTCACCAGCAATTTAAGTGGAAAAGGATTTTTTGTTCTCTGTCAATTTCCATATAAAATTAAAAAAATTGAAATAATTTTTCACTTAAATTGCTTTCGTGAAATTGTNAATTTAAGTGGAAAAGGATTTTTTGTTCTCTGTCAATTTCCATATAAAATTAAAAATATTGAAATAATTTTTCACTTAAATTGCTTTCGTGAAATTGTCTGTAAGATTTTATTTTCTCATTTATTCGAATTTATTTATCAACAATGAGTTACATTAGTACAAGAAGATTTGTGTTCCTCTTTAGTACAACAAAAATTGGAATTAGAAATTGCACAGGATATAAATTACACAGAAAAAAATAAATAAATAAGTAAATAATAAATAATTCTTAATTCTAACGTATACTAATTTATACTATTAGATAGAGATGTGTATACAGTATATTTTGCTTAGCTGCCCATCCTTTTTTTTTTTTTTTTTTTTTTTTTTTTTTTTTTTTTTTTTTTTTT